GAAACTTATCCGATTCTTCTTTCAGTAGAAAATTGCGGAAATGTCAACGATCGTCGACTACGGTGTTCCCACCGAAGTAACGAAAAGTTTAACACTCGAACAGCGAAACTTTCTGGCAAGAATATAATTCAGTATGCTTGAGATCATTCGAATGGGCTAGTGAGTGGAACAAGGAGTGTTATTGTTCTCTAACGTGTGCATTGTTTACTGACTAAATTAAAATGTTTGCTGACCAAGGTAAGATAATTTAGCGTTTGATTAATTTATAGTAACTTCACAACTTATCTCAGTTGTCTTTCCAACATTTTGGCACGTACACAACTTATGTTATCATGATTCTATCCCACTCAATATCATTTAGCAATTTTTTTCAATTTATTTCCTAAGGTACATCTTCTATATACGTTAGCATTGCCATAAATCGTAATGAAACATGTGCAAAGGACCTAGCCGGATAAGCAATCCTGTTCGATGGCTTCTTAAAATTTTGAAAAAAAAATATAAGCTATTTTGGATCACAAGTCGTACATTAGAAAATGTTTTCAGATTTTTTCGCTGCAAACTGTGGCTGCAAAGAATGGAAATCCATGCAATTTTTAAAAAACTAGACAATTAAAAATTTTAAGACGTGAAGGATTCACAGAAATTCAAGATTATTTACTTTAAAACTTCTATTTTTTTCGTACAGTAAATAATCTATGGAGCTAAATCGCCGTACAGTTTCAACGCCACTGTTTCAAGCAACAAAATTCGCGCCCCTGAATAAAAAAAGTTACCTATTCGATGGCTTCTTAAAATTTTGAAAAAAAATATAAGCTATTTTGGATCACAAGTCGTACATTAGAAAATGTTCTCAGATTTTTTCGCTGCAAACTGGAAAGAATGGAAATCCAGGCAATTTTTTAAAAACTAGACAATTAAAAATTTTAAGACGTGAAGGATTCACAGAAATTCAAGATTATTTACTTTAAAACTTCTATTTTTTTCGTACAGTAAATAATCTATGGAGCTAAATCGCCGTACAGTTTCAACGCCACTGTTTCAAGCAACAAAATTCGCGTCCCTGAATAAAAAAAGGTTACAATCTCTCGCGAAAGAACCGAGCACTTCGGAATCGCCCGTTTTCGGAAAGGAAGCCTCTCAGGGAAATAAGTTATTCAATCATGCTTGTTTCGGTGCGTTTGAATAAACCATGGACGAGTGCGCTTCGGATTTCAATCGCCGCCGCCACGCCGGTGTGTTTGCCGCTTTAGTGGATCATCGATCGCCGGGAATGCCGGGAACGGCGGGCACGGCGTGACCATTTAACGGAAAGGAGAATCCAGTGACAATATTTATTCGTATGATAGGAAAGTAAACCCGTGTGCCGGCTCGCCGGCGTTTGAAGCGTAGGCGTGGAACGGGAGCACAGGAGCCGAGACTCGCGACGAAATCCGCTAGTTAATAGATAACTGGGTCGTCGTCCTCGAGAGGTCATCGAGGCTTTTGGCAAAGAACGAGCCGAGGAGTGGCGAAAGGCGGGGAACCGTCCACCCGAGGTGGCTCTGTCTAGCAAACAAGCCGTGCAACGTGTTAGGAAAAAAGAAGAAAAGAAACAGGAATAAGTGGAACGAGGTCAAGGCGGCTCGTCGCTCCTTTTTTCACTCGAAGAAAATTGCCCGAAGCCAAAACAAGTTTTCTCCCCTTTTGGCCACTCTTTTCGAATCGCCTAACTCCATGGCTTATTGTGTTTTCGAGCTCCCCGGCCACACAGAAATCTCATTTGGTAAGATCCTTTGATGTCTCCTCATTTCCGGCATCGGTCTTACCGGGCCAGCCAGAATAATCGGCCGGGTTCGAAAGGTAAATGAAAGTCGATATACCGAAATGTCCCTCAAACTTTTGCTGCGCAAACGGAAACCGTGATCCCTAGTCGCCCGGCGACCTGTCTCTCCGCTTTTTCATAATTACATCCTCCCTGCAACTATCGCAATGCATTTCGGAAGAATAATATTTCGCGTCGATTCGGAGACAGTTCTCCGTGGTGAGCAATTTTCGCAACGAACGACAACGAGTGTTCGACGAATTTTCCAAGCAGAAGTTACGTGACATTTATTTATTTTCTTAAAATACGTCGACGACGCGCGTATGGACGATACAAATTTTGAACCAGGGATTGAAATTCATTTTCATTGAAGTATATCGAACAAACTCGATGTTACTGAGTTTATAAAATACAAAACAATTAAACTGAACGTTACTAGGTTTTTAAGAATTTGAAAGAGTTAAACTGAACAATTCTATGATCCCTAGAAAACGTAAGAGTTAAACTAAATGTTACTAGAATTTTTGGAAAACATAAGAGTTAAATTGAATGTTACTAGACGTTTTAGAATTACGAAAGAATTAAACCGAATGCTACTAAGTTTTGAAGAGTTTAAAATAATTAAGCTGAACAGTACCACGATCTCTATAAAACATAAGAATTAAACTAAATGTTATTAGAATTTTTAGAATATAAAAGAATCAATCTACTGTTACTAGAATTTTCAGAACACGGATCTTTAAAATACAAATGAGTTAAACTAATATTACCTATGGTAAATTTTATTTTTCTTGTTTCGGTTTCATTAATTAAACGGCTTTGATATTGTTGGATCTTTTGCGACTGATATTCGCCACTTAACGTGTGTTAATAATTAGAATGAACTGAAGATAATGCAACATTACTTTGAGATCGTTTTACTGGTATAAATTCTGCGGTATAGCGAATTATATTTCTTATAAACTGCGTTTATAAGAAAGAAGACTGCGTTCCAAAGAAGACTGTGTGTAGCAAAAGACAGGGGTGCGTCAGTTTCCACGTCGCTAGTTAAGGGTTAAACACCCCTGGAAGCTTCACCGTGAAGTTCCGCATCCCTCGTCCAGTCATTTCCCGCACTATCGCTGCAGTCGCAAGCACGTTAATAAGACGGTGCTTGGCCGAGGAAACAAAACGGTAAACGCTGCTCTTTCTGATTGCACGGTACAACTTTAAATATTAGCCTGCTACCCACGAAATGTCGCTTTCTCAAATAAAGTTCCAACCGCGCGCAGTTTCCTCCAAACAACGCGCGCGTCTCAACAAAATCATTTTTACGTGCCGCGCATGTTAACGTTCAACTAATTTGATTCCACGAAAAATTGTTTCTAGCGCAAAACTGGGGAAAATTTAATAATATCTCTGGCCAGAGATTCTTGCGCCTGGTAATTGCGCGATCTCTAGCCGAGGGTTTAGAACTCGATATTCACAGATATAACGATGTCGATCGAACTTTATCCCACCGATGACACAGCCTTTAGCATAACTCATCAATTTAATATAAACTCGAGGGGGACGCAATCGCAGAGTATAATGATCGGACTGCGGAACTTTATGCATTTATGACGACTTCTAAGCCGCGGAGCGCAGTAAAACCGAGATTTTAGTGAATCGCATTAAAATGAACGCAACGGAACGCCGAGTAAACGGAATCAATTTCTGCCTACTCATCCACTTTATAAATAACCGCAAAAAAACAATGAATTTATTTAATCGCGGTTTTTCTACAGTTGTCTCTCACGGTCGGGAGATAATTCCAGGACCTGGTGCGCTCGATATTACTGCATTACATCGGAGGAAACAACGTTCGTCGTGGCTTTTCAACATAAAAACTTATATTATAGTTTTATTGTACGATGTTTTGCAGATGCCGTATTGTTTTTGCTTACAATTTGTTTCACATTTCATTTGTATAATCGTCAGGTATCTTATCGACGTCCAACACGTTCAAGTATTGTTACTTGAAATCTATAATTTCTGTCTCAAGGTGCGTCGATGAAACTATGATCATTCTATTTGTACGATACCGTCCACTGAAGTGTTATCGTTCATACGTTAAGAATTGTTGTTCAATTATTTGCTGGTATAATACTTACATTTTTAACAATTAAATTTCAACATAAACTTATTTAACAAGGTAAAACTTACTTTAAAAAAATGTGTGCAGAGGGTTATGTCAAGATTAAGTTAAGGTTAATTTAACGCTAAACTCACCGAGCACTGAAAACGACTGGCGCGAATTAAACGAACGTTAATTGGAAAGCGGTCATTTTCATGTTGTCAGACACCCAAGGAGAAGCTGCTTTGCAGTTAAAAACCGCTTACTTTTTTACCATAACTGTATTCGTACTAATTAAAAAGATTCATTAATTTACTTCAGAGCAGCTTACAAACAGAGCAGCCGAAATCATGGCAGCCACGGAGCTACATTCTTCTGGAAGGACGTTATCTAAGTACACGTAGCTCCTATAGTAATCGCCATTTTTGCATGAAAAAATTATCTTGCACTTTTGAAACATTGCCAAATATACGGGGTGTCCCGAAAATGTCTCGCAATCCGGAAATGGGAGGTTCCTGAGGTCATTTGAAGCAACTCTTTCCTTTGCAAAAATTTTCTCCGAGGCTTCGTTTACGAGTTATTACCGAAAAACACTGACCAATGAGAGGCGAGCTCGGCTGGCGCGCGGCAGCCCAGTGCACGGAGCCCAGTACCGCTCATTGGCTCGGCCGTCTCGCGCCAAATGACCTCGCCTCTGATTGGTCACTGTTTTTCGTTAATAACTCGCAAACAAAGCCGTGGATTGTATTTTCGCTAAGGAAAAAGTTACTTCAAATGACCTCAGGAATCCCCTACTTTCGGATTGCGAGACATTTCTGGAACACTCTGTATGTACAAAACCACGGAAACATACAATCCACTGATGTAGTGGCAAAAATTCGCTAAATGAGTAGCTAACCCTCCAAATCAGAAGACTTTCTTTAGCGTTGATTCATCGGACAGCTGACCCCAGTTCGAATCGAATGTTCCGAGGATCGCGACCGCGTCACGGACGAACTAATCCGGTCGCGTTTGCGTCCGGAAATAAGTGCCGAACGCGATCGGTTGAATTAAAAAGGTAAACCGGCGATAACTCTACGCGAACAGTATCGGCAAGCTCACCTGGCACGCTCTGGGTTCGTTGCGCACTCGCGAATTCCCCGCTGCGGCATCGTCCGGTTCCCGAGAACTCACCCTTCCGGAATTCCGCACGATTCCATTAGGAGGAAAAACAATGTTCCCCGAACGGTAAAAACCGCGGGCAGCTTCGCACCTTCCATTCGTCACTGTTTCCACCGCGATTAACGTGGCAACGGGGCGAGAACGTTCACAGCGGGAGGACTCCAGCACGGACTGTCTCGCATCTTTTATCGGCGCACGCTTCGAACACAGTTTCACCGGGGAACACGGATCCGGATTGATCCTCGAAAACACGGATCCCCGCGTCCCTGAAGAAAATCGGCGAGGCCTCGTCCGGCTCGTCGTCCACTGTTTCGTCGGCGAACGACACTAGAAACTTCCGGTCGCAGAAATCGATCGCGCGATCGCCTCTTCTCATCATCTTCAGGAAAGTGATGCTTCTCTTACGAAGGCTCTTCCTCCACGACAAAACGTCCATCGTGCGCGATCCTGCGTCGACCCGTTTAATATTTTATCGCTCGATCGGGAGACCCGGTGCTTCCATTCCTCTCAGTCCGTCGCCGTTGAATTTCCATTGAATCGCACTGAATCGTTCGAGTTGATAAAAACGGATTTCTGTCTGTTTCCCGGCTCGACCCGCGTCGAATATGTTGTTTGCCGGTGCTCACATTGTTGCTCCCTTTCGACGTGAAACTGAAATCGCGGATCAGTCCGGCACGATCTTTCCCGCTTCGCAGGCTCGGCCTAAAAAGCACAAAATGAAAAGCCGCTCTTTATTGTTCCGCGGGGGACTCGGCCGTTCGCGCGGGTTCACGAGCGACCCTGTTAAGGTCGGTCCACATTAGAGGCAACCTCGTATCACGATCTGCTCGGAATGCGCTCGCGACTTTACTACAGACACGCCGCGACGCTCCGGTCGCGGCTGAAATTCGCAGATTTTCGAACTCCGTGTGACTGCTGAACTAGAAACTCTTCGACATATTTAGCGCATCCACTATCGCGTTGCTCATTAGTGACACGCGGAGTTCGGCATTATTCGAATTCTTTCGAAGAAATATCTATCTCGGAGAATTATCCGAATAAATTCTTTTCGAGTTGGATATTTTATTCCAATTACGAATGTTCGTTGATTATTCCATCCGTTTGTTCGAATAATGATCTCTTCGTCGTAAATTATTCTATCTATTTAATCGAATAATTCCTTGTTTTGATGATTCTTTATTCTAATAATTCCTTACTCGACTATGTTATTCGAATGTAGATTCTAAGATTATTTGAATAATTATGCGAATAATTGTTGACTGTTTTCGTTTTGTGTAATTTAATAATATATTTTATTTTTATTTTATTCTATAAGAATAAGTTCTTACTCGAATAAAATCTATTTATTCGGATCACACACACACACACATTTTTTTTATCTAGATAAATTTTCATTCGATTGGATATTTATTCAATAGCGTCGAATAAAAATTCGTCAGTCTTGATTCGTCGCCCGAATAAAATTTCGTCGCTTTGAAATCGCTGAGCCGACTGCTTAAAGTCTGTCTAAATTCATGTGGACCGTGACGTAGCAGGTGGTTTATTTCGTTTTTGTTCGATGGAACCCTCGCACGAACGAGTTTACGCACACCATGCACCTCACGCACCGTTTCTGTTCCGTTCCCTCAGGGAAAATTGATGTACATATGTGGATCACACGGCGACTGAAACAATTTTACACGACTGTAACGCATGCTAGTGTGAAGAGTCCTAATATAGAAATGAGAGTAACGGTTGTGGATCGGTGGATACTGACTGACAGAATTTCAGTGTTGTGGTTGCGCCGTGACTGACGCTTACATAAATTGCGAGCGCGTGACGCGGGCAAGAACGTTACTGTCAGGCACACGCATTCGCGCCGTGCCGATGGGAACATTGTAACACGCAAGATGCTTAGAACTCGCGTATGGTAGTAATATTATTAGGAACTTGAAGATTTGAGAGCTTAAAATTTTCGAAGCTCGAGAAATAGAAGGGTTGAACATTTCTGTGGGGATCGGAAGATTTGAAAGCTTAAAAATTTGAAAGCTAACGAACTTGAAATTTGCGAAATTTGGATAGCTTAAAAATGTGAGAGCTTAATNTATCAAATTTTGCCCAACTCTGTTGACACGGTTCTTTGTTCAAATATTCAGTTTTTTGCGACATATTTGAGTACATTGAATTTCATTAGAGTCTGTGAAGTCTAAAAAAACTATAAAATATAATAGTCTATTTCGTACAAAAAAATCATTGAATGTAGAACAACCGTTTCTAAAGTAAAGTAAAGCCTGTATTGATGCACAGAATGTTTGACTAGGTGCCATAGGACTATTAAACATAATTTGGAGAGAGCAAAAAAAGAAGAAGAGCTTGCAGAAAAATTATGTTTTGTTTTTGAAAATATTATTTTGAAACACAGATTTTTACGTTGACAGAACACTTTTCAGATTTCGATTGAAGAAAAGTTACGGCTATTAAGCTGATAACAAATGACACAACTTCGAACCCTCCACCATTAATCCACATTATCGCTCAGCGCAGGGTGAAACGCGTATAAGATTTCGCAGATTATCGCAGACAAAAGATTGACATGTCAAGACTCATCTTAGCATTTACAAGAAAAAACTTCAAACACTGTATGATGCAATTGAACAGTTGTTTAATCATTAATAAGTTTCATGTCTTGAAGCAAAAATCTATTGAAGCAATAATCTTTATTGGTACGTTTAATGTTGTGGTATTTATCATTTTGTCTCTGCTATCAATAAGCACAAATCTTTTCACCTATTGCGGTCCTGTATATTTTATATCTATATTTTATATTTTATATATATATATATTATTATTATTATATATTATATATATATATATATATTATTATTATATATTATATATATATTATTATTATTATTATATATTATATATATATATATATATATATATATATATATATATA